TATAAATGGTAGTAACTCCTAAATAAATGGTCATAAGAGATGCCAAGAAACATCAACAATCAACTCAGTGAGCAACAGATACCAAGGATGCTGGCTGATGAAGAAGACGAAGTAAGCTAAGTAGCCAAGGCTTAGCAGTACAGATAAATGTGGACTCACTATTTGGCAAGATGACTAAGCCTTATATTGGCTACTTAGCTTACTTCGTCTTCTTCATCAGCCAGCATCCTTGGTATCTGTTGTTCACTGAGTATATTCTCGCTAAGTAGCCAATACAAGGCTTAGTCATCTTGCCAAATAGTGAGCCTGTGTTGATGTATGAAAACTATGTTAGAACTGGTTTATAAATGGTTCTTAATGATTAATAAAGTGTTTACAACCTATTTAATAACCTAATTATAAACCCTTTATGAATCCTTTATAAGGGTAGCCTTATTGTAGAGTGGTACGCAATTATTTTACAAGCACCGTAATATAAAATAAATCAGTTTCTCAGTTGATCTACCTCGTATGACCTGGAAACCAAGAAGAAAACAAAAAACAAAACTGTATTTGGTTAATGATCCTACACCATAATGATAAATGACCTTAACTGCTGTAAACACAGTTTGTGATGAGTGGTACCTGACACATGTGCATACATTCATCTTGTACAACAGCGAGGAAACTATACTCATAGGATCGCACAGAGTAATATAACACACCCTGCAGTTTCACTCAGCTCTACAAAGCGTTTTAGAATCTTACAGTTCATTGTTTTGGTTTAATGACCCACAGCTTTACTGTTTTGGTTCAGCCTCACATCTGCCTTGTTTGTCATTTCACAGCAGACAGTTATTTAAATAAAAACTGTAAACAGCTAGCAATAAGTACTTAACAGGAGTTTAGCAGCTGGAGAGCCATTTAGCATCCAAAAATCCATCCATGTTTACATCGAAATCTTAATGTTGGATATTTAAGAAGGCATTGGATGCATTAGCAAAGCTCTCAGTTTGATTTGAGTCTTATCTTCTTTAAAGCTATGTGCACCATTGTGATTTGCAGCTCATTTTACTTTGGCCAACTCTATATCGGGTCACAAAGACGTCATATATTAGTTCTGACAAGAGGAGCTTTACTTTTAATATCTGTACTGTAATGTGGATAATGTCCTTTGGTGGATTTTCCCTTAGTGAGTGGTGGCTTTGACACTATGGCGTCACACACACAAACACACTTCATCAGTTGCTGGGAGTGATTGTTAGTGGTCTCTGGGCTTTGTCTCTTCAAGGGTGTCAGATAAAAGCACAGAATGTGCTGCCAGAGAGAGGAGAGACAACAGAGGGGGGCAAATGAGGTGAGACAGAGAGGAAAGGGAGGAGATACTGTATAGAGGTGTGTGTGTGTTGATGCACTGTGGAGGTGTTGCAAGCCCTGACAATATGTGGGTCAGTTAAATGATCACCTCCATCCGTCTAAAACTTTACATTAATTAGGAAATTAATGTTAAAGGGGACCTATCATGCAAAATGCCCTTTTTGATGTCTTTTATACATAGATATGTGTCCCCGGTGTGTCAGGGAACTCACGCACTGTCAGAAAATAAAACCCTCTCAAGAGTAAAACGGGGGTACAATGGAGCTGATCCAGATTTGCCTCCGATATGACGTAATATCGGCAATGCGGACCCACGGCACTATGAGAAAGTTGCTATTAGAAACAATGCCCGACTGTTTTGGACGTAATATGGTCTTTGTTTACATTAGCAAGCATCGCTAACAGTCAGAGCTAACTTGTACTGAGAATATGTGTAAAAAAGCCGGATATAAAAAGGAACTCACCTTGTGAAACACCCGCGAGAGAGAAAGCATTTGAGCTCCATACTGTTTCAGAAATAACAACCTTGATGTGGTTTGGAACATGATATGGCGTTTCATCACGGCAGTCTCTGCTGGTAGAAACCTCCCACATGAGCAGGCATAACCTCCGCCCCCTCTTCTTTTTTTTTAAAGCTTTATACCCAGAACCAGCACTTTCGTAACCGGGGTAAAATAGAGGGATATGAGGCATGGCTAGAACGGGTGATCTGTTTGGTATTTTGAGCAAAACACTTCATAGACATGTTTTTATATATTTGTATATATCTGAGACCTATGCTATTGCCTACAAATAGCATTACAGGTGACCTTTAACAACAACTTGAAGCCTTAACATTCTGAGTATCGGGACTAACAGAACCTCAGTAAGATGTTGTGTCTAAAGTGTGTGTGTGTGTGTGTGTGTGTGTGTGGTGTGTGTGTGTGTGTGTGTGTGTGTGTGTGTGTGTGACGTGTGTGTGTCTACTGTAGCACTGTTATGTTACTGACACTGTCTGAACCCACTCCTCATGTGTGTTTAAGTATCGTAGTGTACCTGTGTGTGTGTGTGTGTGTGTGTGTGTGTGTGTGTGTGTGTGTGTGTGTGTGGTGTGTGGTGTGTGTGTGTGTGTGTGTGTGGGGGGTGGGTGGGTGTGTGTGTGTGTGTGTGAGTGTGTGTGTTGTGTGTGTGTGTGTGTGTGTGTGTGTGTGTGTGTGTGTGTGTGTGTGTGTGTGTGTGGTAGTTATCTCGGTCAGTAAGCATATATGTCCACTCTTCTGTCACTATTTTGAGTGTGTCTTTGTTATCTGGTGAAGTAGAGCAGACCATCCCTTAACTGTGTTTTTGTTAATACCTTGAACTTGGATTTAGCATCTTATGTATATATTTTGAAATGTAGCAGAGAGTGAAGGTTTATTTGTACGTATAGTGTGACGTTTATTGATGCTGCAAACAGAGAAAATACATTCTTGATAATTCCTGCATAAGTGCTTCCTTTTTCTCTGGACTAGAGTTATGTCAGGAATGCTTGACATCAACTGTGCTCTTTTACTCCCTGTAGCCTACTGCAGGTCCTGATACACTGGATATTTGTTTAAAGTAATGCTGTCAAAATTATCGCGTTAACGGCGGTAATACATTTTTTGAATTAATTGCGTTAAAATATTTAACGCATTTAACGTATGTGCAGAATGGCCCGCCCCATACATCCCACCAGTGGCAGCGCCAGGGTATGGCTGGGGTAGGATACATCCATACCAAGAAATGGCTTAGCCCCACCATGAAAATTGATGTTAAAGTAAGCAAAATAAAGTCTGCTAAACTGTGATTAATCTGATTAAAAATGTTAATCGTTTGACAGCCCTAGTTTAAAGCCATTATAAGAATTTAAACACATTTGTATTAGTGAGTAACTGTCTTTCTCGTGCACTTGCACAAGAACAAAATGCACACCCAAGTGAATGTCAAAGTTTTCCACATTATTCCAGTGACCTACAGGTGGCGGTAGTGCACCAAAAAATACAGCAATGCATCAGCAAAGGAGGAAAGAGGAAGATCACTAGCATGTTAGATGTTAGCAAAGCAGGATTTAAAATGCTAATGTCAAAGGATTTAAATTGTAATAGGACTCCAAAGATACACACAAAGTAAATTGTTCACCAGAAAACTCGACAGAGCCCCTTTTAATTTTGAAAATGATTGACCTTTTTAATACAGAAGCATTGCTGGGTGTCAGGGCTTACTCTTACTGATTAATCACAGGGGTTGTCAAGCAAAGGGACTGTAGTCCCGAACGATAGCTGAGGATTCTGGGTAGTGTAGTGTCTTCGGCCATAAACTCCGAAAAAATATTTGTTTCTCCGAATCGAAGGGGGAAAACACAAAAGCATTGTACACAATTTAAACCAATCAATGTTGTGTAATTAACAAGGATAATCTGATGTTTTTAGTGGATGAATATTGCAGATTACTATGCAAACTTCGAGACCGGAAATAATGTTTTCACCCCAAGCTGTGGCATGGCAACGCAATTCTGTTGAAAGTGATTTCATATCGCATAAACACCATATCCCAACGTGCACTGCGGCTAAAACATCCAATCACCGAGCTTCAACCATAGCTGAGGATTTTGAGTAATCAGTTCAGTGGGTGTGTATCGCCTACGTCTGTATCCGGTGACTTTATTTTGAAATTCAGTTCCTGACGGACGGCAAAAAAGCCTGATATTATAGAATTAAACAAATAAATAACAACAAGGATAATTGTGTGTTATTGTTGAGTAAATAACAGTGTGTTATTTAGAAAAGAATAACAAATTAGAAGGAAAAAAAGATTTAAAAAAATACAGATTTCAGTATCCTGAGGCTCTGAGCCCCATTTCTTTTCCTCACGGACGGCAAAAAAAGTCTGACATTATATGATTTAAAATAAAAACAATAATCGTGGCTTGATATTGAGTAAGAACATGTTTTTATGAACCCCACAGCTTCCGGTCTGCCAGGACCCGAACGGACAAAAAGACGTGCTGCAGGCACGAAACATACTACCAATAGAAATACATTGCTTTTAAAATCGTTCTGTGTGACGCGAAAAAAAGGAGAAAATCGTGTTGGAGAACACGAATCAATAGATCAGATGTCGTGACTATAACACGAAATGCCGTGAGACTGGGTTGTACATTCTGATATGTTCTGTAGCTTTGGATGTTTTTGTCCTCTTTCACAGGAAAGATACATCTTCCAATAAATCCGGGTAGGTTGCAGGGAAATATATATGCCATCTCGATTCCATCTTTGTTTTCAATCAGTTCCTCATCTATCAGCTGCTCAGATTGTTTCAGTTCAATCTGAGTCCTTCCATTATTTCACAATGTGGATTTGTGGAATTGTTCCATAATGAACTGGTTCATTCCATTCAATTGGAGCTGAACGGCCGTCGTCATGTAACACTCTGGTAGCAATGCGAAGTCATTGTGTTTTGTGGAAGTCAAATGCATACAGTATTCTGCATGTTTAAATCATAGTGCAACCTTATATATGTGTGTGTGTGTGTGTGTCTGTGTGTGTGTGTGTGTATGTATGTATGTGTGTGTGTGTGTGTGTGTGTGTGTGTGTGTGTGTGTGTGTGTGTGTGTGTGTGTGCGTGCGTGCGTGCGTTGATTGCAGGTTGCTGTCCAGAATGGCGGGGTTGAAGGAGCAGCAGTTCACGGAGGAGAAGCCCCTGCTGCCGGAGCAGCGAGGGGCCGACTCAGACATGGTCAGTGCATCTGCTTTATGTATGTGTGTGTCCCCCGCGGTTAACCCTCCCTGAATAGTGTGTTCAGGAGGAATGACTCTGAAATAGTTTGGTTTATTGAGACAGATATCTGTGTGCATACTTGCTATATGGCTTATAATAAGACTATATGCTTGTTTACAAGCAGAAAAAGAAATTAATTAATTCAACCATAACGCTGTGACTATGAACAGATACAAGCTCATTTAAGATGATTGGAGAACACACAGAGAAGCGAAACAGAACAGAGAGCAGGCATTGTGTGGTTTCAAAAAGGCCGCTTGTTCCAGTCCACTTATCCATTACCTGAGCAACAGGTCGTGTCTGTATCAGGAGACCTTGAATGTTTGAGAGTTGCAGAAAATATATAAATGGTGGAGAGAACTTCACATAAAAGCAACAAAAGGAGTAGGATTATTGCTTGAAATTACTTATTTCCTCCTAAACTTTAAAAACATCGATATCTATGTGAGGTGAGTTGCTTAAAACTCTTAAATGAAAATTGGGAAGTTCAGAGGGGGATTGGTAACTCTCGTTGTAACTCTCGTTGTAATCGGAGCGGCTCGGAAACACATCTACAGCAGTAACATGCAACATACACATTAATGCAGCAGCAATATTAATAGAGAAACATCAGACAGAATAGTAAAACACTGAAAGGGAACATTGTATTGCCTGGACTTTTACTGCGACAACGTTGACTTGCCTGTGAATACAAAATAAACCATAGCCTAGTGTTGGTGATCTACAGTGTTGTCATTCTTCTTTGAACAGCAAGACCGCTAACACCCTATTTCAACAATCACACTCACTGTAATTGACATAATTAATAGATAGTTTAGCTTCTCACCATCATTTGCTGTGGCCCACTGATGTTAACGATCGTAACTGAAAGGCTGCCTGCCAAACGTAAACATCTCTTGCGAGAGTTTTACACAAGACGGATCCTTTCTAGCCATAACCCAACAACAGTGCATTTCATAACTGTGCACATCTTATACTTATTTGATAACTACTATATCCCTTGGTTACTTGAACACGCTACAATATTATTAACCAGTGTCCTACCTTATTAAAATATTAATATACGAAATATTTGTATTGGAACTGTTTTCGACGTAGTAATGCTGTAACATATTTCAGCCCCCCCGCAAAATCCGCCTATGCTTCTCACCCATATTAGGCTGATAACCTCCGAAACCATTTTATTGGCTGATAACAATCAGTAGATTTATATTATTGTGGAAAGCAAACCGGTAGCCACATGATATCTACTCAGAAGAATAGCATGAAAACATATTCTTCTGCTCCAGATTGTTGTTAGTCATGACTCAGTCGGCCAGTGTGTCAGAAATGAAACATCGCACCCAGGAGAGACAGTCATACTGAGGGCTTCAAAAGAAGTGTGAGTGTGCATCAACATGGATTATTCTTCTATTGATCAGCTGGTCCAGCATAAGGTCATTAGATCTGCTCAATACGGCTCGCAGTTTGTAATGATGGGAAGCCATCGACTGCTGCCGTATCGATCAGCTTACATGTTAGCATGACTTAGTAGGTCACTTAGCTTGTTGTTCTGTTGAAAATAACTTCAACAAAGAATCACTTGCAGTTTCACTCATTTATCTCGCCTTAGTTTTTTTAAATATATGAATTGGGCCACTAGTTCAAGATGCAGGTCCTCCACATGGGGACTTATCCTCAGTACATGGGTCACCGGCACTACAGTATGTGAGCTAAACGGCTATTTTATATTCACTCGTATTTTAATAATAAAGTTAATTTAAGTGAAACAAATACTATTTTTCACAACTGCTCTATTGTCGACACTGGGTGGTGTTAATACACCAAAAATATATAGTAGCGCACTAACCAAGGCAGTGAAGATACATTTATAAATCTAACTATGTTTCAAAGTAACTAAGGCCGTAGCTATTGAGGACACCGAGGTGACTTTTTTGTTTATATTGGACCAAACATAAATCAATCAATTGATTGGCATTCCTCCACAAGGATTTTATTTATTGAATAGTGGAGAGTTCTAAGAAGTTGTGAAACATAACTTAATATTGAAAACTTTGGATAAAAAATCTCTAAAAACGAAGTCCTTGTTTTAGGGTTTGGGGAAAGCTTGGACTTCTGACCTCAGTGGATGTCAACGGCCAAGAGAGCTTACATTTACAGTGTTTCCTGTGTTAAATGAATTCAGTGTATTCCTGATTTCGAGGTGCACAGTTTAATTCAGCAGGTCTCTGTGTAAACATGTTCCTCTAATCCTATCAAAGGGCTGCAGCTTGACCTTTCAGAAGCAGAGGAGGCCAGAGCAATCTTCTTTGGAGTTTTTAACGTTGAGTGTGTACGATTTAGTGTCATCTAGTGGTGAGGCAGCAGAATGCAGCCAACCGAATACCCCTCCCACCTCCCTTTCCAAGTGTGTAGAGATTCTACAGAGGCCTTTAGGTCACGTAAAACACAAGACACCCTTTCTACAGCCAGAGTTGGTTTGTCCATTCTAGACAACTGTAGAATCATGGCAGTGCAACATGGAGCTACCTATGCCGATGTGACGAAAACATAGCATTTCTTTAGGTGAATTTAAACTAATAAAAACGTAGTTATGAATATTTTATTCCATGTCTGTTAATAGATCCAGCTGAATCCTACACACTGGACCTTCACAGGCTTGAGTAAAAAGATGATGGTTGAATCAAAATGTTACTTTGTTGAATGTTGCCGCTCTTCTCCCCGGCTGTTTCCCAATAATCATCTTGTCTTTGTTGTTTACAACACAGCAGGATAAAGGAGGGGAGGCATCGGGGGGGTTACCGTGCCCCGCTGCGCCCCCCACCAACCCCCCTCCCCCCAGCCGCTCAGCTCACCGCTGGCATGTGATCGCACGCCACTGGCTCCGCACGACGCGCAGTCGGGCCGGCGGGGTCATCCCGGTAATACCAGAACTTCCAGGAGCAGCAGAAACACACACACACTGAGACAACACACACACACTGAGACAATACACACACACTGAGACAATACACACACACTGAGACAACACACACACACTGAGACAACACACACACACACTGAGACAATACACACACTGAGACAATACACACACACTGAGACAACACACACACACTGAGACAATACACACACACTGAGACAACACACACACACTGAGACAACACACACACACACTGAGACAATACACACACTGAGACAATACACACACACTGAGACAACACACACACGCACGCACGCACGCACGCACGCACGCACGCACACACACACACACACACACACACACACACACACACACACACACACACACACACACACACACACACACACACACAACACACACACACCACACACACACACACACACACACACACACACACACACACACACACACACACACACACACACACACACACACACTCAACACAGCTGTAAAGTGTTTATTAAAGAACTCAACCATGGAGGAAAAGTCATAAGAACGTATTTATCAGTTGATAAAATGAAGTCCTTATGTTTTCAATTCGGTCAGTCCCTTTTGTACGACCACAGGACTTCCACCCACTGGTAACCACTACTGAAAAGCCCCATGCGCTGCACAGCAGTAAAACACTTACCCTGTACAAAACAGTATAAGTAATAGGATAACTGTGACTTCTTTAAGTCAATACAAATACTTTACTAAAATTAAAATACCAATAGACTGTAAAAAAAAAACACACAGGTAGAGTAAAAGAGTTATACAGTAGAATGATATACTTTGAATTGCTTATTATTACAGCAATATATGATGTGGCTGGTCAAAGCTATTTTCCACTACTTCATAAACTGTTGGGTTGTTTATTTGGTTAATTATACACTTTTTTAGATGACCATGTATTTGTTTGAACAATTTTATTGTGAATAGTTATTATGCCTGACAAATAAATGTAGTGGAGCAATAGAAATCTAAATAGACTAATATTTCCCTCTGAAATGTAGTTCGCTTTAAATAAAGAACAAATGTAGCATTTACAGTTAAGGAAGTAGTAGTTAGTCACTAAAGTAAAAAATAGCAATAAATTGTACAAAGATCAAATTGAAAAAACAGAAAAAAGAGTAAAGACAGCCACATATTATCAATAAAGTTACAATAAAGTCCCAGTAGAAAAATATAATTTGTATTGAAATAGTAGCAGACTATAAGTAAAGCACAAATGTAACATTAAATGTCAATTCTTAAATGAAGCACATCATTACCAAATCGTTTTAAAGTAGAATACATCTGTACATTTATTGAGTGATGGTGTCTCTTTCTTTCTACATCATTTAGAAATAAGTCACCAATTTATAACGTGTGTTTATATATCCCTAACCCTAACACAATGTTACTGTTCAACACATTGACTGTTGAACATTCTCTAACAACAGAAGCCTGCATAATTCATCCTACTAACCAAATAATACGATTATCTTTCCTCCACCAGAAATAGAACAGACAATAGGAGGATTTACATGTATGGATTTTGTCAGTTTCTGAAAACGGAATGGCATTAGGATAAAAAACAAATCAAATAATGAAGTCCTATCCTCGTAGACCTGCTGAATTTAGCGCTGCGGTAATTCTGTTTTTCAACCGAGACATCCTCTTGAAAAGCCCAAAATCTAGGGCAAAATCTGCATTCACAAAACCAGCCTGCAGGCACTGAGATCAGAGAGGGAAGCAAGAGCAGTGAATGATCTGTCTCTGCACAGCGTTACACAACACACCTGAGGACACACACTCTCACACATCCATGGAGAATCTCTCTCTCAGGATCTATGACATATTAGTTCACATCTTTCCAAAAACAAACAAGCCACACATTCCCTCCCCACGTGCACAGTGGCTGCACATCCTCAAACATGGGGTTATAAGAAAGAGAAGAGTGCCACCTGCTGGTCCCACCACTGTACTGTCCTCACTAATATCTCCCCTTTGCATGAGATCCACAGAGCCTGAAGCTGCCCTCTCTGTGGAGTTTATTGGAGTTCTTCATCTTCATGCTGCAGTGTTGAAACACTTGCATATCTGAGAAGCTCATACATAGAATTTGACACGTCATGTTGTTCATGAAGGGCAGCTTCAGGTTTTCCCTTTCTCTCTCTTTAGGTGTGTCCCTGATCTGACTGTGTGACTCCTGTCCTTTCTTTTTCCACTCATCACTGCTAATAACTTCACATGTGACTTTATTTACTCCCTGATCTTAACCCATCACTTTTCCTTTTGTATGTGTACTGTGTCTATTTGGAATCCTGTCATATTTTCTTTCAGATGTAACACAAAAATGATAATATCCTCTACTTTTGCATGTTTAATAAGGCAGCAGTGTGCAACCCATCCATGACAGTTGTGATGGTGACTAACCCTACGGTGGCCGACAGGTGTAAATGCGATACAAAGGCCCAAAACATTTCCAATTTGAGAAACTTGTTGCAGCTGCAGAAACGATGCAAATATAAAAACAAATCAAATGAAGAAAAATCTTAACTAACTTGACAACACATGCAGCATTTAGAAAACATTCCCCATCTAGACGAAACATGTGCAGCATTTACTAAAGCACTGCATAAACCAGGGGTGTCAAACTCAATTGAATTGCGGGCCATGTCAGCATTATAGCAGCACTCAAAGGGCCGGTTGTAACTTATATATAAATATAAAATAATGTATTATATTACATTATTGCCTCTGCATTGGATTATTATCTGATAGGGTAATAACTTCATAATTAACTACGTCTGAAAGCAGAAGTCTAGGGCAAATAATTGCAAGTCTCTTCAGTGAGAATGTCACAAAAATAATTTAAAAACAAAAGCTGGAAAAAGGTCAAAATCAAAAAACAGAAGTGACATTTAAAAAAAAAGGAAGTGACATTAAAAAAAAAAAGAAAGTGACATTCAAAAAAAGGAAGTGACATTCAAAAAAAAAGGAAGTGACATTCAAAAAAAAAAGAAAGTGACATTCAAAAAAAGAAAGTGACATTCAAAAAAAGGAAGTGACATTCAAAAAAAAAGGAAGTGACATTTAAAAAAAAAGAAAGTGACATTCAAAAAAAGGAAGTGACATTTAAAAAAAGAGTCAAATTCTGAGAAAAAAAGTCTAATTTGAGATGCATTGTGGGACATATAATTTATGGGCAACGTGCTTCTGTAAATCATCATGTAACCGTATTAATAAACATATTATATTCTTTGCAAGCTCTTGTGGGGCCACAGAAAATGAAGTCATGGGCCGGATTTGGCCCCCGGGCCTTGAGTTTGACACCCCTGGCATAAACAGATACAAAACGCTGCAAGAAGCTCAAAACCCAACGGAGACCAGGGGACACTAAAAAGTGACGCACACAGCTGGGACTGGAGCTCTTGGTCACGTTCAGGATTATAAAGTTGGTCAACAGAGTTAGTCTGTCTCATAACTGTTACATAACATAGTGTTTGTCAGTATATCTGAAATGACTAGGTTAGCTACGTTAGCTAGCTAGCGTACAACAGATGTGCTATAATATCAGATGGAGTCATGTGATCACATTGTTAAAATAAGACAATAAAAGTTACATTTTGGGTCAGTTTCCAGTGACAGTTGGCCAAGCAGGTGTGTTCGTCACTTTTTAGTGTCCCTTGGTTTCCGTTGTGTGTTGAGCTTCATGCAGCGTTTCGTTTATAAACGCATGTTTTGTGAAGTTGGTGAATTTTCTCTAAAAGCTGCATGTGCTGTCAAGTTGGTGAAGAAGTTCCTTCATTTGCAAGTTTTGTACACATTGTTTTAGGAGTGTGTCTCCTAATGAAAGTGTTTTAGGCTGTTGAGGCCGCTGCCACCATTCTTACCTCATATCCATGTCCTGCATTTTCTCACCAGATGATGTTCCTGCTCTAAACTTGAATTAAAGCAGAGCAGGAATGTTGTCTTACTGTAAATGACATGTGCTGATATAATACAGGTTAAGATCAATAACACCTTCACTATTGTGTTCAAAATGACAAAAAGAACACAACAGAAATGAGTTTAAGGGTCATTTTTAAGCATGAACCTGTTTTATGTCAATAGCCTACATATCTTAAAAAATGAATGTCAAGACCAGATTCCTTAAAAACAGAGCACTGCAAGATAAAACATATTTGCTTCAAGATTTGTTTCTCAAAAATATTTTGCCTGTCAAACACACTTCTTCTGACGCCAGCTTGTCATCAATTGGTGTTTCTAAAAAACGTTTAATCTATGTTGGCAGTCGAGGAGTTACAATGCCTCGCAGGGATATTGACTTCCCTTGCCACTGTGTTAGATGACAAACATATTGAATACCCAGATGCCCCGGCGCATCTGGGTATGCAGGAGCTGAATGCTGAGCTGCTGGCTGTGGAGGAATCTGTTGTCTCTCTCATCCTGTATCTTCCCTCACTGTTTACTGCTGATGCAGTCTCCCACACGCACTACAGCAGATGATCTGTACTGCTCTTTACACTGAGATACACTGTAATAGTAAATACATTTGGCAATATCCAAAGGCATATAAGTGTGTCCAAAGGATGCTTTAAAGGGGCTCTCTGCAATATGAGTTAGCGGGCCAGGAAAAGTGCTAGTACGCTTTTGAAAATATATGAATCATGTCTTCTGACTCTGGAGGCAGCATTTCAAAGTCACACAACATAACCATGAGGATGTCAGAATGATGTCATCAAGACAAACACAAACGTACAAACGGTTGCTGTGTTATTTGTAGCAGACCCAGATCACAGCAGCTGCTGCACTACGGAAACTCATCTTGTTTGTACGAACACATTGTGTAATCAGTCATTTACCAACATGAATTCATTGTGTTATAAATATATCTCATACAATTCATGCAGGATATCAGAAGATGATCTTTCCTTGGAAAAGATGTCCATGTTCTTAAACTGTATTCTTAAACATGTATTATAGAATTATGATTTAATAGTATAAAGCTTTACATTTCATTGTGAACAAACTGCAACCCTTGCATGTTGTAATAACTGCTGCAATATGCTGTCATTTATAACAAAATGGGAACTTGTGTCCATGCTGGTTATGAAAACATTCAGCAGCTTATAAACAAAATGATTATTTTTACATAATGAAGTGAAAATACATCATCCTTTGTCCATAATTCGTTTTTCTTAATATAATGACTTATTACAGCTTGACTTCTGGTGCATCACTCGACCATTCGATTTGAAAACAGTAGGAATGTTGGCACCACAAGTTCAAACACACACAGCACAGTTGTATTATTAAAGACTTGGCTTGTTGTGCCTGAAAGGAAGCCAATGCCAAATGTTATTTACAATTTACAAGTGTGTTCAGCGACAGTTGAACCTGTAGCACTACTGCTGAGGTGCTTCTGGGAAACTGTGTTTTTCTGTGGTTTGGACCTACTGTGTATCTCCTCTCTGTGTAGCAGCCTCCAGTGGAAGCACACGTTACAGCGAAAGGAATACGTGTGTGAGGTCACACTAATTGTCTCCCTCTATTAACAGTGTCTCTCTGTCTTCTGTCTCTGCGTCTGCAGGAGAGCTGTGAACAGCTGATGCCTCCGGGGGATTGGAAGGTAAGATCTGATGTGTGTGCGCTGTTAGCATGATGCTCGCTTTGTTCCCTCCGGCAGTGGCTCAGTCAGTAGGGACTTGGACTGGGAGCTAGGGTCGCTGGTTCAAGTCCCCGACCAGAATTAAAATATGGAATGTGGACTGCTATTTGGAGAGGTCCCAGTTCACCTCCTGGACCCTGCCGTGGTGCCCTTGAGCAAGGCACTGGACAACCCCCCCAGTCCACAATCATAAAGTGGTGTTAATATGGGAGATTATCCTGCTGAACAACAAGTGTAAATCTCAGCATAAACAACGATTTTAAAGTTTGACTGCAGAACGATGATTGGCTTCTGGAGATTGTGGTGACAATTGGTAAAGAGAGAACACCCATGATGAGCTGGTTAATGCAGCTCGGATTGAATGAATGTAGACCAGTCCTCCTGCTGGAACTTGCACTGAGCTATCATATGGCGCAAAGTGGGTTTGCCCCGTTAGTGGGGAGCGGCCTGGAGAGCATCCAGGTTGGAACAGGTCTCTCTTTCTGAGAATCAGAGGGTAAATGTACATTGTTACAGCAGAAAAGAGCCAAAGACAGCTTCATGTTAACTAAGAAGCATGCATAAAAAAAATATTAAAGATAAAAAAATAATAATAGAAATTACACAATTTACAAAATACACATCCTGTAACAGTTCTGAGGAGAGTTTTATAAATTGTTGATTAAGTCAGTATCCACCTTTTTTAAATGTATGAAAGGTCCCATGTCATGCTTCTCTGGTTATTACCCGTCCCTGTCACGATCTGTCTTTATGGTGTTTTGTCTTGTCTTGTTTCATGTTTTATTTTGAAAGGTCTTCACTTCCTGTCTTGCCTGTTTCTGTCTGCGTTGTGTCTTGTTTGGATTTGTCTGTGGTTCCCTGTCGTTAGTTTCCCTGGTGTGTCTGATTACCCAATTGTGTTCACCTGGTGCCCCTGTGTTTTCTCCTCCCGCCTCACCTGTGTCTTGTTTGTGTGATTAGTCTTGTGTGTATTTAAGTTCTGGTTTTTCTGTCTGTCTTTGTCGGTTCGTCTTTTGTCATGACTAGTTTGTCGGTGAGTGTTCTGTTCTGTCTGTGTTATCACCTAGCCTTGAAATAAAGGAACTTTCACTTTAATCTGCATTTGGGTCCTACCTGCTTCACACACCGTGACAGTCCCCTTGTGTGTTATGTAGATTTTTCTGCATGTTAAAGGTCTGCAGAGTCACAAACCCTCAAAGTACACCCTGTAGCGAGAAAAACTCTAACACAGAGAAGACCTGTCTATGCTGCCCCAGAACGCCTCGTTGGACATTTCTCTTTTTCCATTGTTTTCTTCCTGGGTTCTGTGACGTGTGAAGATTCAACTTATTGTCATTACATAGTACAAGTACTATGTAATGTTTCTCTGTGTAGGACAGAGAGTGAATACACAGACTATACAGAGATGCTGTATGAGAAACCAATGTGAGTTTGGAAAATTGCACAGTATACATCTATTCTAGTAGACCTCAACAATGGAAATATGATCAGTAGAAATGGCCATGACATGGGACCTTTAACTGCTATAAGTCTGTCAACCTCAAACTGAAAAAACACTAACAAGGGTGACGAAAGTAGTGTTGACTGTGAGCTGTAAAACAAGTGACTCATTTCCATATGTGTCAGCACCAAATCCCTGCAATTAGGTTTGATGTTCTGGCCGTGCTGGAGCCCCGCCTCAAGCAACTGTTAGCCAAAGCTAACAGATATAAATGATCTATTATACCCTCTGCCATTTCACTGCTTAACACTTGGAAGTATGTGACAGAAGACCTTATCATAAAACGCACCAACTGGTGGCAAATCTTACTCCAAACTAAATGAGAAGGTTGCTGCCATGATTGGATCCTCACTGAAACCAGCTTTTCATTCCCTTGTTAATACAGATGTGGAGAGCAGACATGGTTTAGAGATAAAAGACTCAGGGTGTCCACTGCAGAGACATAATGATGGCTTTTAGCTCCCATATAATTCAGTTTAATATCTATTTACATCACTTAAAAAAGTTCTCTGTTTTATTTTTCTTCTTTAATGAAGTTTACATTCACGCATGTAACAGCTCCGTTGGTTTATTTTAGTCTGACGTGCTGAGGGAGAGATCACACGTCATGAAACACCTCTCTTTCACACTTAAGTCTTAAGGTCTCTAAAAATATTTCTGCGTTTGAATAACAGTGTTATTCTGCTTGTTGGCTGCATTTGAGATAAAGGAGTATGCCTCATCTCATTAAAAAAATTCATGAAAGACATTCTGTGTGTTTTGTTAGGCTGTGTTAGGGTAAACTGTGTTTAATCAAAGACTTTGGCATAAAACTATTATAGTATTTTTATGCCAATGCTTGTACAAAATAATTATGGAAGGATTTCAAAAGTGCTTAATGATGCAATACATAGTTTAATTCTGCTCCTCATACATGGAAACACATAGGCTGGTTAGTTATCTTAAGTTATTCTGTTGATTTACCTATTTTTCTCTCCTGTGTAAATAACTTAATTACTTTGGGGGACAGTAGCTCCGTCTGTAGGGACTTGGCTTTGGACAACACTGCTTGGGAAGCATAGGGTCGGACCAGAAATACAGAGTGTATTAACTGTCCCTGCTGCCAGGCGCCATAACAATGACTTAATCAATTTAGATTAAGATATGTTTTTCCAGGATCATTATTATTAGTCCAATTTAAAACATGTGGTTGTTGTGTATTTCAGTCTCTTATGGCAACAATGTTTATTATACTGTAACAACACATATTTCATCCTGAAAAAAGAAAATGTTCTGCCAAGAGAAATGTGCCTATTTTCCAGCCTGTCCTCCTACAAAAAACGACCATATAGGCCGATTGTTCATGCCCTTATTACGACCCAGAAACACGTTGTAAAGTATGTTGTTTCTTACACGACCACTAGAGGTGCTCTAGTGCTCGTGTAAGAAACAACATGCTCCCGGCCCGTTCATTGCAAACGCTCCGGAGTGACGTTTATTCACAAATAACCCTCTCTGGAAAATCCTAAATTGTGGAATAGTTTGGCCATTAAAATGCTTTTTGATTAGATTTCTGGCGAGAAGTGTATATTGTACTCTTAGAATCCACGTCCAGTCGATGTGTAGGATCTATAGTTTGATAGATATTACGAAGATGATTTGAGGTCTCGCCAGGATAACGTGTATGCAGCTTCCATGTAAAGTTAGCGTGGGTGAAAACAGTTTTTCCGGTCTCGAAGTTTTCCTAATAAAACCGGATATATTCCCCTCACTGTCAAATGATTACACAGTGATATCTGCATTACTCATCCACTAAAACACATCAGTTTGTCCTTGTTAATTACACAATATTGATTGGTTTAAATTGTGTTCAATGCTTTTGTGTTTTTAACCTTCGATTCGGAGAAACAAATTGTTTTTTCGGAGTTTAGACACAAGTTTCCGAAGACACTACACTACCCAGAATCCCAAGCTATCGTTTGGAACTACAACATCCGCCTTGCTTTACAAACCCCGTGATTAGTCATCAAGCTCTGTGATTGGTTGTTGGAGTGGCAGTGCGACAAGGTTACGCCGAGCGTCAAACAGCTCTATGAAATGGAATGGAACCACGGCAGACTTTCCAAAACTGGAATTGGACAGGTCCAGCCCCCCCCCCCCCCCCCCCCCCCCCCCCCCCAGAACTACACATGCTGGCTTTATAAGACGTTTTCGTATTTCCCACAATTAGAAGTTGCCAGTATTAAACTGTGATTGTCAAGTGCCAAAATAAACTATGCAATATATTGGACGTTAAGTACTTTGTCAGACTTCATATTTGTCTGTGGATAACCCCAACATTTTTTTCTTATTCAAAAGAAGACCTTAACTTAAAGTATTCTTTAATGTTGGAATAAAGCCTTATCAGTTTGTCTGTTTTGCACATCCTCCTGTTAATATCTTTAGACGTCCTGCACTAAACTGTTTTATTGTAGAGATCACTACAGGATCTTCTTGATATTTTCTATTCTATATTTCTATCATGCCTTCTACTTTCCCCCAATTTTGTATGTAGGCTACTCTTAATATTGAAATGTTTTCATCAAATAAAACGTATTCAACAACAAAATTCAATAACGTGCTTTAACCACTAGGCGGCGCAGGGTTAAAAAACCAGTGGTGTTTAATTAAACATAATAATATCAAACATAATATGACTATTCACTTTATTGTGAAATTAAAACAGAACGGTAAAGGAAAATACAGTTTCAGTTTCTCGATTTGAAGCTTATGCATTGTACCATGAACCTGTATACCTGTAACAGTCAACTGCATGTGGAGTTGGAAAGGTAGTTCAGAAAATCAGTCATATCTTTAAAAACTACAAAAAAGTCCCTTTATATCAGCTGTGCACCGTTATGGTGTAAATATAATCTATCTACCAATTGGATCAAATATAAAAGTCAGCCGAATTAGTGTTGATACTGCAAGGAGACGTATTGTGTGAAAAGAAATGGAAGATGTTGTTTAATTGCTAATATATTTATGATCCACGTCACGTATTCAGTTTTGGCCGCATTTCTTCCAATTTGTCAAAATGTCTTCTGATCAGGGCTCTATAAATAAATATCTACGGCAGATATGTAATATTTAATGCAGCCAAACCGTGTATTACAATGCCGTTATGTGATGACTTCCAAAGAGAAAAGCCAGAACACTCGGAATAAAGTATTATTTTATTTAAAAAAAAATGTTTTTCCGATTTCATGCAGTGCTTCTCAAAGTGTGGTCCGCGGACCACTGGTGGTCCGTGAGCGCCCCCTAGTGATCCGTGAGTATATTGGTAACATTTCACATTTGAAATAAATAAATATAAGTTTTTCGCACTCTCGCGGGAATATCTCCGCAATGGAACGAGCTTAAGTTTAACTTTTGATTGTATGATATAGCCCAGATAAGCACCTTCATCACACATGTTGCCACTTGTTTGTACCATTTTCAG